ATCAAACTCTAGTATGGTCGAAGGGTAGCTTCTAGTTCGACATGAATTATGCATGAGGTCAAAGTATGTTCGCATGCTGCTGTCGGAGTAATGCATGTTGTAGTCGAAGTTTATTCTAACATGCATTAGTCAATATTGCTAGAGTTGTTGGCATGTTGAATTGGGTCTTACTTGTAAGTCCAATTATTTAAGTTAACTTGTACCCTAAGTTAACTTGTAATGAGTAATTGTTAAAAATCCCATTAAATTAGTGTATTATTTTTCTTATAAATAAGATGCTAGTTTCTCAATCTTGGCATAAGGAAAAATAGGAAGATAAAATCTTAATTTCAAGAGAGAGAGGTTATTTTGTTATTCTTGTATACTTGTAATTTTGTTCTAAGAGTAAGAAAATAATAGCAGTTTATAACTAATCCTTGTTGTTTTACCTTATTATCTTTGTCAACCCTAACTCTTGTGTGCTTCTTGATCATAAAGAAATTGTTCATACTTTGTTTCAAAACATCCGATTCACAACACACACGCGCGCGCGCGCGCGCACACACACACATATATAGTAGGAACTCATTTTTGAGGAGTTCATTTTTGAACAATTTATGAAACATGTTGCGTCTTTTAATGCAAAGCATTATTTGGGTTGTCCTTCTTTAATTTATGGTATTTTGCCTAATCAAAAGAAGCACAACGTAAGTGATGATAATATTGGTGATGTTCCTAGCATTCACAATTTTAGTTACAAGCTCTTTGTCGGGAAACATGTTGTTGACATTGTGCTACCATCTACTGCCCTGGTTGATGAAACCGATATGTGTATTGATGAGCAAGTGATAGATGTTGCTCTTCTTTCAGGTTTTGTAAGAAGGCACATCCCCAAGGCTTTCATGAGGCAAAATCCTTACACAATATCATCACTACATGCTATTCTAGTAAGGTTGCGTGTGAAAGGGTTATTAAGATGCTGACTCCTCACTCTACAAGAGTTTCCAATTTTCAGCTTCCTATACCTAGTGATAATACAGCCACTCTTTCTGATTAATCTCATGAAGTGTATAATTCTCAACCTAAGGATGTTTTCAACTTCAAAAAATGAAGAAGAAAATGATGGTGTTAATGAGGAAGTCTTTGATAGTTACTCTCTTACTCAAGCACTTCGATTTGATTTGTTTGTTTTATTTTGAACTGTTGGTTTTTCAATTTATTTGATTGACTATCATCAATTTTGCTAATGCAATCTCCTTATGATTCAGTCTCTGACTTAGTATTAGTTACTTCTTTAGCATTTGACCCTTTTTGAAGAAAATAGAGGGAGAAAAAGCACTAATGTTATTTTTTGGTACATAGTTTAATTTGGAACAAGGAATTTTTTAATATTAGAACTTATATTATATTTTGGTACTTGGTTGGTTTGGCATTTTAATTTCTGGTTTAGATTGTGTTTTGTCAAGTTATCTTATTTTTGACATTATTTGCTAAGTACTTGCAAGAATTGCATAATTTCATTCTTTGCCTAAAAATAACCAATGGGTTAGTTTGTTATTATATATGGATTGACTTATTTTTACTGCCAAAATTTTAAGATTTTGTATAAGTTGTTTAGACATTTTGGATCTAATATCTTCTTGTGCGTTATTTTTGGAAGAAAAAAAAATTGTTCCAGATTTTGTGTGATATTCCGGGAACAAATCATATTTGAATTGTATTGTCTTTTGTTTCAAATTCTGCATGATCTTAACGAGTAAGGATTATATTTTTTAGTGGATTTGTTTTGGAAATCCTAATGAGGCTTCTAGCTGGATTAGTAGCCGAAAGCAGAAAATATATATACATTCTATGTTGTGAACGTTGAGACTTACTGATTAAGAAATAAGGTGTATGTTTTTGTTGCGTAAAATTCTATCATATTTGATTTTTGAACATTCAACAAGATAGATTTTTTAGTTTGTATTCATGAAATTTGTCACGTTCTTATTATTATGAATCACACACCCACTTGGAAAGTGTTTGAGTGGAATTGAGGAGATTACAAATTAATGTGAGCTTGAGTTAAAATTCATGTAGTAAAAAGAAAAAGGCTCTTAACTAGGGATTGTTCATATAAGACCATCATGTATTGACTACTTTTATTAGTAAATTTTATTTCCACTTGGTTATCACTCTCCAGATACAGATGACAATTGCATCAAACTAGGCTAATAATTATTTGTGTCTTTTATTTATTACTCTATTTAATTATTCATCGTTTAATTCATACCATCTTCTCCCACACATTATTTCAACATTGTATGTGATATCTTGTCTCTAATCATATATAATTTCAGATCTTTTGAGTATGACCAACTAGATCTACGAGATTCAGTAAGGGTGGAAACTCATTGGGGTGTATTATATTTCCTCTTTATTATTAATGATTTCTCTTGAAGAGTATGTATCTACATTTCAAAAATTAAATGTGACACATTTGAAAAGTTTAATGAATGATATTATACTCTTATAGTAAACCAACTGAAAACTAAACTTAGTGTATTAAGAGTTGACAATAGCTTAAAGTTTGTTTCAGAGCAGTTTAATGGGTTTTGCAGAAAATAAGATATCAAGAGGGATAAAATCCTTTTTGCGCACCTCAAAAAATGGCTTAGTAGAACACATAAATACAACCATTTTTAAGAGAGTGGGGTGCATGTTGTTGGTTGGTGGGTTACCAAAGAGTTTTCAGGGAGAAGTTGTTGCTACAATATATTACTTGATTAACAGACATCCATCCACATAAGAAACTTCAAGACACCTATAGATGTTTAGGGTGGAAAATCAGTAGACGACTCAAATATTAATATTTTTGGAGCTTTGGAGTTTGCTCATATAAAATAAGACGAACTTGATGTTAGGGTTGTGAAATGTGCCTTCATTGGTTATCTTGAAGGAGTGAAGGGTTAAAAACTATGAAAGATGGATCATGGAGGATCAAAATTTATCATATTAAAGGATGCTACTTTTAATGAGAGTTGTATGGGGATAAATTGAAAAGCCTATAGGTTAAAATTTCAAAAACTATGGTGGAAATAACACAATTTCAGAGGGAGGTTCTTACTAGTGAGATGAGGAGATAGTTGAGACTCATGTTTCCAATTCTATTGAAAGGAAACATATGATATCTCTTAATTACCATTTGGCTTGTGATATAGTTTGGAGAGAGATTGTACCACCTCAAAGGTACGGTTATGCATATCTTATTTGTGTTTATTTAATATGACTGAAGAGTTGCAAGACTCACAATCAAAGATCTTTATAGAAGTATTCAAAAGAAAAGGTAGTCATAGATGGTTGATTGTGGTAAGTGATGAGATGAATTCATTAACAAAGAGTCATACCTGAGAGCTTCTGAGACTACCTAAGAAACAAATAATGATTGGATGCAAGTGGATTTTCAAGAAGAATGAAAGTATTCTAAGAATTGAAGAACCAAAGTTTAAGGAAAGACTTATAGCAAATGACTTTACCCAGGTAGAAAGGTTTGGTTACAATGAAATACTTTCGCATATGGTAAAACATTGTTCTATAAAGGTACTTATTACAATTGTGAATCAATATAATAATGATTTGGAACAAATGGACGTCAAAACTAATTTCTTACATGGAGACCTTGAAGAGACATTCTACATAGAACAACCTGAAGGTTTTGAAAAAGATAAGGTTAAGGTATGTTTGTTGAAGAAATATTTGTATGGTTGAAACAAAGTTCAAAGTAGTAGTATATTATCCTTGTTAAAGGGGCCAAGGAAGTCATATGGATGAAAAACATGATTGAGGAGTTATAGATTACTCAATAATGTGTGAAGATAAATTGTGATAGTCAAAGTGTCATTCACATAGGCAATTATCAGGCTCATCATGGGAGGAAAAAATACATTGACATTCGTTTACACTTTATAAGGAACATGATAGAGTCAAAGAAGATTTAGGTTTAGAAAGTGCACTCAGAAGAGGATCCAACGTATATGTGCACCAAATTATTGTCAAGATCAAGGTTTAAGCATTTCTTGGACTTGATCGAATTTTTTAAAGAATGGTTCAAGCTTTGTAGAGAGCAACAAGGTGGTTGGTGGTTAAATCGACATCACCAACAACTTAAAGTCAAGGTGGATAATTATCGTAATATGCCTTAAAACCTTAAGTGAGGAAAGAGAAAAATATATATTTCGGTACCTTGATTTTCAAGCTTGTTCTCGAATCTATTCGTTAATGAGTCATATATATTCGTTAATGAGTCATATCTAGGACCCGTTAAGGTTTTGGTAGTTATAAATATGGTTCCCTCACATTTATTTTTAACACAAATTGCAGAAGATCATAAGGTAAAAATTCTAGTGAGAAACAAATGGTAGGAATTCTTACGATTATATTCCTATAATTTATATCGTAATCTATTTTAAAAACCTTTAAATATAGTAAATAAGAGAGCTAGTTTTTCTCTCAAACTTAAATTGATTTGATCGAACTGAATACCTAATTTCTCTATATTCTCACGTTATTTGATTGATTGTCATTATTCTTTGTTTCACACATTTAAATTTTTACGTGTAAAAATTATGTGCGCTTATTTTCTCAAAGAATACTGCTTAATGTTACACCACCTCATACTCCTTTTTTGTCATATGAGCCATCCTCCAAACAAAAATTGTTAACATTGACAAAGACTTCTTTTCTACACAATAAATAAAACAAACAAAAATGAAAAAGGGGTGGGGACTAAAAGGAAAGGAGCAAAACATCATTCACCTTATGATAGTGATTCATCCGTGGTTCTAACTTTTATTACCAATAAATAACACTACTATAATAATCAATAATAAATGAAACTACACACTCATTGAGTAAACTACAATTGATTCAATTCCTTTCAACAAAAAGTAGAATAAATATGGAAAAAAAGCCATTGGAAGGTGCTCCTAACATAAGAATCAGACCCTCCACCATGCTCCTTTACCTTTGAGGAGAAAAAAGCAATGGAGAAACAATTTCCCAAGTTGTTTGTGTTAACCAATGTACTTCTTCTCAGTGCCTTTCTTGTCTCCACAGCTCAATCTCAGAGCAATGTCTCAGCTGTAGGAGACCCAGGAATGCAAAGAGATGGCCTAAGGGTAGCCTTTGAAGCTTGGAACTTTTGCAATGAAGTTGGTCAAGAAGCTCCTCACATGGGTAGCCCAAGAGCTGCACAATGTTTTGATCTGTCGCAAGGTAACCTTAATAACATCAAAGTCTCTTAAATTTCATATAAGTCCTCAAAATTTCTTTTTTTTTTACTAGTTTTTGCTGTATGGCTAGGTTCTCTTATTGATAAGGTGACAGAAAAAGATAACAAACTTGGTGTGGGGGATCCATTACCTGGTGTTAGACCAGAAGACATAAACAACATAGACCTCTATGCTGTTCAGAAGGAAATTTATTTAGGTTCTTTATGTGAAGTTCAAGACACACCAAGACCATGGCAATTTTGGATGATAATGTTGAAAAATGGAAATTATGACAGTAGGTCTGGTTTATGTCCTAAAGATGGTAAAAGGGTACCACCTTTTAGTCCAGGAAGGTTTCCTTGTTTTGGAACAGGATGCATGAACCAACCCATCTTGTGTCATCAATGGACACAGCTGATAGATGGTTTAATGAGAGGAGGATTTAATGGTACTTATGATTTGGATTCTAGTTGTGGAAATAGTGGACTTGGTAATAGTAATAATAATCTCTCTTATTATGAGGTAGTTTGGGAGAAGAAAGTTAATGTTGGTAGTTGGTTGTTTAAACATAAGCTAAAGACTTCAAAGAAATACCCTTGGTTGATGCTTTACCTAAGAGCTGATGCAACTAAAGGATTCTCTGGAGGTTACCATTATGACACAAGGGGAATGATTAAAACTGTAAGTCCAACCTTTCTTTCAAAATCTAATAGGATGTTGCAGGTTCGAACCTGCGCCCTTGTAGTCTGATGTTTCTGCACAGCTATTAACTGAATTGGCTTAACCGGACAGAATGATGTTTATTTATAAGCATTTTAATTTTTTTGAATGTATCTGGTTTGGTTAGATAAAACTAACCATTTGGGTTTATGATTCAGCTTCTAGAGTCACCAAACTTCAAGGTGAAATTAACCTTAGATATCAAGACGGGAGGAGGATCCAAGAGTCAATTCTACCTTCTAGACATGGGAAGTTGTTGGAAGAACAATGGTGCTCCATGTGATGGAGATGTACTAACTGATGTCACTAGATACAGTGAAATGATCATCAATCCAGAAACTCCAGCTTGGTGCAGCCCTTCAGGTTTAGGAAATTGTCCACCATTTCACATCACACCAGATAACAGAAAGATATTCAGAAATGACACTGCCAATTTCCCTTATTCAGCTTATCATTATTACTGTGCTCCAGGCAATGCTCAACATTTGGAGCAACCTGTAAGTACTTGTGATCCTTATAGTAATCCTCAGGCACAAGAGATTGTTCAGTTGTTGCCTCATCCTATTTGGGGTGAGTATGGTTATCCCATTAAGAAAGGTGATGGTTGGGTTGGGGATGCAAGGACTTGGGAACTTGATGTTGGTGGCCTATCAAGTAGACTTTACTTCTATCAGGTCAGTAAATTAATTACCACTCTATTTTTTAGAAACTCATGACTCATCATATCACATCACATACATTTTGTTACCAATGTTTGGCTTATTACCAATGTTTGGCGAAACTAGGATGACACATCTGTATGATCAACACTTCTGAAAAAATGCGTATGTGTCCATGTTAGTATCGGTCACCAACATGACACCGATACATACATGCGATTACTTTCAATTTATTCATTTTTTCAAATTATTACTGGTGTCAATGTGTCAGTGTCAGTGTCATATCTAGTAGTCTATGTTTGTGTCCAGATGACACAATATGATGTGATTTTGTCTATCTCATTGTGAATCTAAACATACAATTCATTATGCAGGATCCGGGCAGTTCTCCTGCGAAAAGAATATGGACATCTATTGATACTGGGACAGAGATATTTGTGAGTGACAAAGATGAAGTGGCAGAGTGGAGTATAAGTGACTTTGATGTTATTGTAACACAACCAAGAGAAAGTTTGGTGACTCATGTTTGTTAAGTTGGGTGAAAGAAAATAGAATTGAAAGAAAAGTACAAGTAAAGTAAACTTTTGGGATCAGATAGTCCCCAAAGTTAAGGCTTCTCTATGTTCTTTGTCAAAAGAAATTGTTCATTATTGAAATCGGATCATAGGATCCAAGAGGAATAATAAAGTATGATAAATTTTTTTTTTTCACTTTTTATTTCTTTTGATGAAATTTTGTTTCTTTTTATCTGTAAAATCAAACGCAATACCACTGGCTTATGGCATTCAATAATGTTATACACCAACCGTTGGTGCTAGGTCCAGGTAGTACATATACATGTTTTCTAAAAGCAAATTTGACATAAAAAAAGAAATAAAGCGTCACCAATATTCATCTTAGTGTTTTGAGACTTATAGTACAAGGACAGCAAATATTGTTTGAGCTTTGGACAATTATTGAGCGGCATGTGTCTGGCGCCTAACTAGTTTGGGGGTAAACGTAAGGATGTTTACAGCTTATATAACACAATACACAAAGATACATATTAGAATTAGGTAAGAATCTTATGAATATACCTAATTTTGTGACAGTGCCTTTTGGTGTCTCTTTTTCGATAATTTAATTTACCACCTCTCAACTTATACCTCATCCATTTTTTTTAAAATTTTAAAAGTATATTTATTATTATTTATCAACTAAATTTTATTTTATTTTATTTTTAAATTTCCACTCTTACTAACATATCAAAAATCAAATTTCAGATAGTACAATCAAAATTTTCGATACGTATTTTTTTGCATTTTTAAAAATTCTGACATTTATATCGAAAATTGAAAATTTCTAATAAAAAATACCGAACATTTTAATATTTTAATTAAAAAAATACCAAATATTTTAAAATTTATGGTAAAAAAAATACCATAAAATTTTAAAAGATCCGGTAACAAATACAAAAAATTTCAAAATATCTAATAAAAAATACGGAAAATTTCAAAATATCAAGAATTTTTCTGAGAAATCTTAAACTCATACCGAAAATTGCCAAAACAATTAGGGGGAAAACAAAATCTTCCGGAAATCTAAAAGTTTCCGATAATTTTGCATAAAAAACTATAAATTTCCAAAATGGGGTATAGATTCAAAATTTTCGGTGAAATACTATAAATTTCAAAATTTTCGAAATTTTTCTATGGGTATTGTTCTGGCCTGGGCCCAACCTCGCGGTCCAGCCCAATAACGCGCAAGGCCCAATAAGTAGAGCAGTTTGACCGGGCGCGCAACCCCCACAAGACGGGCAGGATACGCTCCCTGCCAAGCCGGACGGCTTGCTTCTAATTGTCCTCGGCGCTCCCCCTAGTCGGACAGGACGACCTCCACGGACAGAATCCCCCGACCAACGGGCATGACGATACGTCCTCCCCGCTCTCGTGTGCTCCCCCCACCGGGGAAAGCCTAACACCGCCCGGGAATCCCACGAGCTCCCCTCCGCGGGAGAACAACGTGCCCTCAGGGAGTCCCTCGAGCTCCCCTCCGCGGGGAGAACGACAGGTCAGCCGCACGTTCTCCACGTGCCCCCCCTCCGCGGGGACACGTCATCCTCCCAACTGCCCACCTCCGAAAGAGCAGGTCAAACCCACTTTCCGGAGATCTCGGGACAGTTGGACTAGGGAGAAGACCACGTCCTAGTCTTCACTACGCCACGTAAGCCCTAGCAGTCACCTGGGTTGGGTCTGGCAATCCAGCCCAACGCAAGTGACCGTTGGCCCAGCGCTGGGGTCTCTCTATAAATACCCTCTTCCTCAAGAGGGTCAGGTAATTCACTTCTCACCCATCTTTTGTACTTTGCTCTCACTCTGCCCAACTCCTTACTTCGGCATCAGAGTGTTTTGCAGGTACACCCCCCTTCTCCTCCTCATCACCGGTGAACAGGTAGCAGTCCAACAGCGTGTGGCCAGCCCGTGATCCCCTTCTGATCAGGTCAGATCAGTGGCGCCGTCTGTGGGAACAAAAACTTCTCCGTTACTCCGAGCAGAGAACCAAAGTTTCATCAACATTCCACGATCATGGCTAGCCCATGCCGCGACGACACTCCGCACGACTTTGTGCTCAACGTCACCACCAACGGGGACAAGCAGATGGAAACATCACGTCCGGCGGAGACCGACGAGAGAGACGGCCAAACTGCCTCACCGTCATCCGCAGAGCGGCTACACCAGGCCGACCGCCGACCCCCGAGCCCGGCAGCATTCCAACTCGTTCCTATCCCAGTGGGAGCAGACCCAACGGCGGCCGCCCTCTTTGTGGCCATCAACCAGACGAACCAACTGCTGTTCCAACAGAACGCGCGGATTGGAGCATTGGAGCGGGTAGGCCCTCCGAGGTTCCCCCCGCGGGAAGACCAGAACGGAGGCTCGAGGAGTCCCTCACCTCGACCCAGAAATCGCCGACCGCGGCTGGAGAGACACCGAACGTAGGTGGTGCGAGAACGCACCAGGTCCCCAGCAAGACAAGTTCGTGAGGGGCGCTAGAACACTGCAGCGATCCCGGCCAGGGATCCTCGCGGCGAAAACCCGGGCAGGAGGTCGAGAACCCGAAACCAGGGGCCTATTCTAAACGGCTCGTCTCCTCATCGGTCCCCTGCTCCTAGCGACGAGGATGATTATCGCACTCCGCTGTCCCGGGAAATCATGGCTGCCCCCATCCCCCACGGGATGGAGAAGCCCCCGACACTATCGACGTACGACGGCACATCCGACCCAGACGATCACTTGGAGGACATCGAAGCCATGCTCGACTACCGAAACGTCCGAGGAGCTATCAAGTGCAGGCTGTTCCCGACGACCCTGAGGAAAGGCGCCATGACATGGTACAAAAGTTTGGAGCCCGAATCAGTCACGTCGTGGAGAGTCCTGAAGGACCTGTTCTCCAAACACTTTACGGTGTCCCAGCGGCACCCGAAGACGGAAGCCGTCCTCGGGGCGATAATCCAAGGCCCCGACGAACCTCTCCGAAAGTACATCGAAAGATTCACCCGGGAAGCAGTGTAGGTAACAACGTCAGACAAGATGAAGCGCTACCTAATGGAGCAGGGTCTACGCCACGACTCCAAATTCTATGAAGCCGTAGGCATACACCGACCAACCTCCCTCCAGGATTTCCTCGACAGAGCCGCGCATTATATCCGATTCGAAGAAACACAAGCGGCCAACTCCGCTCGGGACACCCGAGACAGGGAGGCCCCTCGCGGGCACCGAGACGACAGAGCCTCGAGCCATCGACGGGGAGGGGACGGTCGTCGCGAAGATAGCCCCCGCGAATCCCGCGAACAACGCGGCCCTGCAGGTCGATTCACGGAGTACACAACCTTGGTCGCTTCCCGCGAGCGCATACTGGCCGAATGCGCCAAAACCAAATTCGTCCAGGGAGGTGTCCGTTTTCCGCGACCGACACCCCCAAACCCAATGTGGACAAATCGAAATATTGCCGATTCCACAGGAGCCACGGGCACGTGACCGAAGACTACATCAATCTCAAGGACGTGATTGAAATTCTGATCAAAGACGGTCACCTAAAGAGATACACCCGGGGAGGCGAAACCCCGAGGCAAGAAGTCCCAGAGGCCAAGAAAGTCGAACAACTCCCCTCTCCAGAGGACAACAGCAGACTCCAGGTCGCGCTTTGCGTCAGCCGCCCCGAGGATTGGTTCGCGGACAGAGAATTCGGCCTTCCCGAAGGACCCGACCTAGTCAGCGAGCCAATCCGACCAACCAGCCGATGGGAATACTTCGCCAGAGCCTTGGTCATCTCAGGTGGAACCACGAGGAGCCTGTCCGTAGGTTCGGTGAAAAGAAAGTTCGACGGGCTTATCACGAACAACTCCGGAAGAATGAGCACGCTCGAAAGATTCCGAGGTCGATCCAACCCGATCACATTTTACCTCGAGGAACTCCCCGGGGGATCCCCCAACTCCAACATTCCCCTGCTCATACGAGCACGGATGGCGAACTTCGACGTCAGGCGCATCCTCGTCGACGGGGGCAGCTTGGTCGATATCATGTACACGCACCTGTTCACGACCCTCCAACTCGACGAATCCAACCTTTCCCCCTACGTAGGATCTGACCTTCAGGGGTTCAATGGGACGACGACGAGACCGTGGGGGTACCTAGAGCTGAAAGTCACCTTCGGAGAAGAAGAAACGGCCAGGGAGATCAGCGTTCGTTTCTTAGTCATCGAGTGCCCGTCCCTCTACAACTGTATCCTGGGCAGAACGACGATAGCAGAACTCACCGCGGTACCTTCCACCGTCCACCTGAAGATGAAATACTACACCAAACGGGGGGCCGTGGTGACCCTTAACGGAGACATCGAGGCCGCCTGGAGGTGTTTTGAGGCTGCGCTGAATGGTTTAGACTCCATCGCTCCAACGACCAAGAGGACAACTCCGATCATAGCGCCAAAAGCGAACCAAAGAAGCTGGTCGGATCCGTGGACCTCGACAGTCGCTTCACCGAGGAGCACGATCCCGAAATAAAAACTGGCAAGGACAACGGGTAGACCACCCACCTGGCTCGACCCATCCCGGACGGAGAATTCGAAATCATTACACTCGGGGAAGACACGAGCAGAATCGTGAAGATCGGCGCCGGACTCCCAGACCTCGCGAAAAGACAGCTCCAAGCCTGCCTCCGCGAGAACGCCGACCTCTTCGCCTGGAGCGCCGCAGAAATGCCCGGACTCGACCCCGAGGTCGCCTGCCACCAGCTGTCCATCAATCCGACCGCAAAGGCCGTTGTTCAACGTAGGCATCGACAGTCCCCCGAAAAATCGGCAGCAGCCGAGAAAGCTGTAAAAGACCTCCTAGAGGCAAATTTTATTTCGGAAGCCCGGTATTCAACCTGGCTATCCAATGTTGTACTCGTTAAAAAGAATAATGGAAAATGGCGCATGTGCGTTGACTATACTGATCTCAATCGGGCATGTCCTAAGGACGCCTACCCCCTCCCCAACATCGACAAGCTCGTCGACAACT